GTTCCCTTTCTTCACCCTTAGCTGCATTTGAGTTAATAAATAGCCTTTGATTATTGAAGTTTAGATGAATTGTAATTAAGCAACCAGCTGTAGAAATCTAGAGGAAAATTTATTGGTTATCTACTTTTATTGCTTAAGAATTTGAATTAAAAATGGTCTACAAAAAATTTCAAAGGAATATGCATTTTCAGGATTGAGAAGAAACAAATATCTGACTATTCAGTAAATATTGAATATGGTGATAGAAATTTGAATCTCATTTTCTAACAGATTGGATTGAGTGAATTTTTGAGAATTAGTTTTGTTGTCTTTTGAATGTATGTTTATCAAGATTAGTTAGACACAATAAATGTAGAAAAGGGGAAGAAAAAATGAAAAATGACAACTAATCTAAAATCTGCTTGGGAAACTAAAACAGAGTAGGTAGGTAAGTGTTCCCCAAAATAGTCCTTCAGAATAAACACTCACTGTCAGTATCTCTTCTAAGAAATAATGGAAGTCTGAGTTTCTCAACCTTGGCTGTATTAACATTTGGACTGGCTAATTTTTCCTGCAGGAAGCTATCTGTTACATTGTAGAATATTTAAACAGCATCCCTATGTGTACCCACCAGATGTCACTAGTAACCCACAATTGTGACAACCAAAAACGCACAGGCCAACTGAAGATAATGGAGATGTAGGTCAATGAAGAGAGCCCAGAAGTAAACCCTAGAATACATGGTGGGTATATTAGCCCATTTGGGCTGTTATAACAACATAGCACATATCGGCTGACTTAAAGAACAGAAATGTATTTCCTCACAGCTCTAGAACCTAGAAGTCCCAGATAAAAGTCCCAGACCTTACAGTTTCTAGTAAGTGCCTCCTCAGTTGAACATGGTCACCTTCTTCCAGCATCCTCATATGGCCTTTTCTCCCTGGCTCATCAAAATAGATGACGCTGTGTCTCTTCCTCTTCTGCAAGAACCTCAGTCCTATGTAAGTCAAAACATATCCTTCAAACTTCACTGGACCTTTATTCCTTTTGCACCATCTATAACTAATGTCACATTTAGAATTAAGGCTTTAAGCTATGATTTTGGGAGGGGACATAGTTCAGTTCATAAGTACACTGAAATGATTTTTGACAAGAGTGCCAAGGCCCCTCAGTGGAAGAAAGGACAGTCATTTCAACAAGTGATGTGAGGAAGTGGAAAAACAGGTGTAAAAGAAAGAAGTTGGGGGCTTGGGATATAGCAAAATGGCACAGCACCTGCCCAGTAAGGGAGAAGCCCCAAGTTGGATTCCGGGTAATAAAAAAAAAAGGAAAACAAAACCCTCCCCAAGAATGAAGTTGGCCCCTTAGCTTATCCTGAATGCAAAGACTAACTCAAAATAGACCAGGAATTGAGATGTAAGACCCAAGACTGCAGAAGTTGTAGAAGAATACATGAGGGGGAGTGTTCATAGCATTGCATTTGACATTTTTTTGGTTATGATATGGATACCAAATTAAAAGGCAACAATAATATAAAGGAAAAAGTTAGACTTTATCAAAATAAGTAGTTTGTGTGCTTCCCAAGAGTAGTACCACCAGTTATAAGACAATTACTAGCATGAAAGACAATACTTACAGTCATATATCTTATATGATAAGTATATGTAGAATATATATATGTATTTTAAAAACCCTACAACTTATCAACAAAAAAATCAAACAACCAAATTAAAAAAGTCGGCAAAGAATTTAAGTAGATATTCTCAAAAGAAGATGCACACAAAAAGTATGGTAAACCTCAATAAACATCAATAACTGTTAGAAAAATGCATATCAAAACCACAGTACAGGTGGATGAGGTGGTGTGTGGGTTGTAATTCCATCTGCTTGTGGGGCTGAGGCAGGAAGATCACAAGATGGAGGCCAGCTCATGTGACCCAGTCTCGAAATAAAATAAGTGAGCTGGAGAAGTAATCAGCGGTAGAGTTCTTGAGAGATTCTGGGTTCAAATCCAGTATGGGAAAAAATGAAGTAGAACAAACAAACAAACAATCCTGCCCCCATCACACACAAAAACCAAAGCAAAACACAGTAACAGGAAACTAAGATACCATTCTCTTCCACAAAGTTGGAATAATAGTGAAAAACTAGAAAACATGCCAGATGCAGCACATGTGTAATTCCTGCCCTAAAAGAGGTTGAAGCAGGAGGATCATAAGTTTGAGCTCAGCCTGGTCAACTTAGCAAACCTTGTCTCCAAATAAAACAATAAAAGGGATGAGGACGTAACTCAGTGGTAGAATGCCACTGGATTCAATTCCCAGTCCTACAAACAAACAAATGAACAAACCAAACAAAAAGAGGAAAATAACAAGAGTGCTGTCAAGGACGTTGAGGAATCAGAACCCAAACACAGTGCTGGTAGGAACGTCAAATGTAGAAGGAGGCCTGGTGGTCTCTCAGTATAACAAAAACAGAGTTACCATATGACACACTCCTAAGCACATGATCCTGGGCTTACTCCACACTTCAATAAATGCTCCAATTAATTGCAAACAGATACTCAAATTCTAGTACATGGATATTCACTGGAGCACTATTCAAAAGGTGGAAATCATACAAATGTTGAGCATTAATGAATGGACAAACAAAACAGAGCGCAGTCACCAGTTGGAGTATTATTCAGCCATGAAAAATAATGATGCTGATACACGTGCAATATGGACAAGCCTTGAAAACATGTTAAATCAAAGAAGCAAGCACAAGAGGAAATTTTTGGACTCCTTTTCCTCATTTGTTTTTTTTTTTTTTTTTGGTACTGGGGTTTGAACTCGGGTTTTCGTGCTTGCAAGGCAGGCCAATGAACTGCTAAATTCCCGGCCCTCATTTGGTTTTGAGGTCTCCTTCTTAAGAGCAGCCCTTTCATGGGCCTTCAGGGAATTCGCTAACAAAGGTTTAAAGCATGCCCTTCATGGGACATTTCCTTAACCTGCTAATCTGCCTTATGCCTAAGTGTCCCACCTGTCACTAGACGTCCCTGTCACAACACATCTGTTTATACAGACAGATTCCTAATGGCACTCACCTGCCTTGTCTAATTTCTTCACACCACCTGTCCACTCTCTAGATACTCGCCAGGAAAGAAAGTGCGGGTGTGTCAGTCAGGTGAGATGCAGAGGTGTGTCTTCCAACAAAATGTGAAATAACAAAAGCAGTTGATTACTCACAGATCCCAGAGAGAAGAGCACAAGATGCCTTGTAGGAGCAGTGGGAAGGAGATCTAAGGAGCATGGATACTGAGGGTGAGGAGTAAGTTACTGAGAGACGCACACCTGGGCCAACCATTACCAGGTCTAGCCCGTCACGTAGGTAGGCTTTCTGCACAGTTCCAAATGGTGGGCTACAGCAAGCTGGCTGGAATTCCACAGGGTCACGGTATCGATGAGAGGTGGTCGTTGTGGCATGTGTGTGCCCTTTCCGTGTGTGGAGTGGGCCCAGTGCAGTGACTCTGGTTGTGCATGCATCCAGCTGACTAAGGGAAGACAGGCAGGGGATGGTGGTGGTGAAGGGAGCTGGATCAATCACACTGGGGGACTGGGAAGAGATAAAGAACTAAAAGTGGCATCAAGGGGGCTTAGCTTCCTTCTTGTAGAACAGTGACCAGCTCAGACAAAAATGGGGGAAAGGGGCAATGACATCATAAGATTCCACTGCAGAAACATATTGCAGAACACTTTCATTTGTGTGAAAGGATCACAATAGGCAAAAGCAGAGACAAAGAAAGCAGACAGAGCTGCTGGCAGCAGGGTGGAGAGCTGAGTAGGCTGGCTCTTAATAAGCACAGAAGTCAATGCTACCTTTATAATAGCTGTTATTATTGCTGTCATTTAATTATTTCAGTGATCAGGGAGAACTTTGTATGTGAAGGAGAGTACATCATAGGCCAGCAACTGAGTATTTTCTGTAACTTTGGCCCTTTCAGATTTTTCCAAGTGAAGCACTGAGTGGATATTTTCAAGACAGTATCAACTAATTATTTTATCTGCTGATTTCAGGAATGAGGTGACCCAGTGTTCAGTTGTGATTACACAGAAATGACCATGTTAGGCCTTTTGAGCAAGGCAAGTGTGAATGCCCCCAAACAGAACTGCAGCTAGGACCTATAGGAAAGAGCATGTCAAGGATTTGCAGGTGTCCCAAGGAAGGAGTAGCCTGCCAATTTTCAATGCTATCAGAAGTGCATCAGAGTCCAGCAGTCAGAAAGTGAGACCAGCCAGGTGAAGTTGTGCATGCCTATAATCTCAGTACTCTGGGAGGCTGAGGCAGGAGTATTACAAAATTGAGCCAAGCCCAGGCAATTTAGCTACTTAGCAAGACACTTTCCTAAAATGAAAAAATTTTAAAGGGGTAGGGGATGTAGCTTAGGGTGAAAAACCTGTGTTCAATCCAGGATATCACCAAAAAGAAATAAAAACCCCAAACAGCAGCAGTAACAACTATAACAACCTGAAACTAGAAGTCAATAGAAAGGCCCTGAACTTCTCCCATCTTCACCCCACATCGTTCCAAAGTATGTGAGAGGTCCAAATGCAGGTCCCACAATTATGTGGGTCCTGCTTTTCCTGCACAATGATCAGAGAGCAAAAGAGATGTTTCTACCCAGTCAAGCTGTCCCTCCTTTCCTTAGAGGGGACAGAGTGAGCCTAGTGAAAGGTATGTCTGACACTGGGATCATTTTTTCCATTCCTGCAATACTCACTCCCTTCTTCTCTCTCTGCTTTGGGCTGTAGCATAAAGGAAGTTGCTTTAGGCTGATGCTAACAACAATTAAAATGCAACAGCTCATCTAGGTACACAAATGTATTTGCATTCACACATATTCATTCCTTAAGCAAACACTCAAAGAGAAGAGTTAGGAAGCTTGACCTCACTGACAAGAGACATTCCAGATAGCAATGATTTAACACTTTTTTTTTTTTCAAACCTTAGACATGCTAGCCGACAGTCAGATAAGTCCTTACCTCATAGCTGCTGTGAATTAGGCAACCGTTCTGCTGTATTTTAGCAAGAAGTCCTCAGAGATCTGGCCAGTCAAAATGAAATACAAGAACAGGGCTATAAAAACAGCCAGTGATGTAAGCTGGGAGTGTCCCTGCAATCAGAAGTTAGAAACGATACTAGAAAGTGAAAATACAGCTGGTCAGTGGCTGCTATGGAAACAGAAACTTAACCAGCGATGCCTTCTTTGCAGTCTTTGGAGAACTGGCTGAGAACAGCTGGGAAATGATGTTTTGATGTGTAAATTTCACTCTTCCAGAGTGGGAAAACTCTGGAACTAGGAGATAGTACTTAGTGTAGAGTGCCTTGAACCTGGAGACAGGGACTGTGAAATGGCTGTGAAAAAGTGCAAAAATCACACCTTCTCTTCTTCACCTTCGGTTCCCTATCTGGAACCACAGTCTATTCAGGTTTAGGATAAAATTCTGTAAACCTCGGAATGAGAGTTTGTAACCTGATTGCTGCCATTCTCTGAGAGTGTGTCTAAGTATGCTATGCTTTTACTTAATTTCTGGAGAACAGTCAGGGGCAAAAAGCAGTTAGTAACCTTATGCTTATTCACAGGAACAGAAAATTAGCATGTTATATTTGGATCTGCTACCCCACCCCCACCCCCAATCTCAGGAGTTGAATGCTTACTACCTAGCTGGTGGGGCTATTTGCCATTCAGCCTCGAGTTCTTTTTATAGATTCAAATGGAAATCATGAATTAGCAAAGTACAGCTCTGCTAGCAGCCCTATCATCAGATAATACCAGATAATGCTGGATGCAAGCAGCTGACACACAGCCAACTGTGCTGACCACTGCTGCTGCCACGGCTGTTCGGCGCTGGTTGAGGCTGAAGCACAGAATCAACTTCTCCAGGTACTGGTCTTTGCCACTGCCAGACACAGCCTTCTGGTGCAAGCTTGTGCTGGACACTATAGGTCGACTCTGCTGGGTGCTGCTTTCTACTGCTGATCTTCATTGGCTGCTGGACTTTATTTCAACAAGACTCTGATGTAGCCCAGGGGGGTGAGTTCACCGGAGTATTTCAAGCAAGAGTCCAACTAAGTCAAGGGATACCTAATAACCCTCCTGATTCCCTTTGGTCTCTCCTGTCTCTTAAAATTCTGCAACATACTGATATGTGTGATCATGATTCCTCAGAATCTTCCACAAGGTAAACTCAACCCAGCCACAGTTAATTTAACCCTTAGAGATCTCCTTTTTGAGAGGAGACTGTCAGATTGACTTTACTGAAAAGTTGAGTCTGGGTGTGCTGAACCATTCATATATAGACTTTGGGGCCATTGTTAGCCATCTTTTTTCTCATGACCAGAAAACAAAAAGAAACAAGAAACTTCACAGAAAATAATGTCAAGCTATTGAACTAAGAGAGAGAAGTAGTAATAAGAAATGGAGATTTCTGAAGGTGCTTTTTGTCTGCTGTTCTGTGGTCAAGAGCCAAGAGGCAAGGACTAAGGGCAGTGTTTTATGGGTGACCGAGTGAGTGCCAGAGGGTATGAAACCAGATTGCAGTGACTCTGCACCTGGACCACAGGTGTGTGTGTAGAACTTCAGAAACCCAGAAACTTGCCAGCATTTGGAGCCAAACCTGCTTCAGGCCCTAACAAGGAGCATCAGCCTCTTGCTGCCTCCCCTGAAGGCTGGTGGTGACCAGAAACTGGACAACTGGACAGAAGAGGGATAGCTGAGAGATCGGGGTCTGTTCTCAAGCAGATTTCTCTTTTTGGAAGGAATCTGGTATCACAAACAAAAAATGTCCTTCTAGCTAAGTAATGAGCATTTTGGATGTTACCTTTTTGTAAGGGTGACAGAAATAGTCAACTTGGTTGAGAATTGAGGGTACTGGGTTCAAAACTGATAATCCAAAGTTTGGCCTGTTGACATTCCGAGGGCCTGAAATGAGGCCTGAAGAATCAAAGCACCCCTCTTATTGATTTGTTTCTCTCTCAGAATTGAAGGCAGTGCATTTCCCCCAATTTCCTTATCTATGTTAAAACAAGATTCACAAAATAACTAGGGCTACTCCCATCCTACCCTGAAATCTCATTATCTGATCAGATGAGACAATTTAAGAGCAAATCACATCACATGGACTTTGTTGGAACTTCATGTCTGTCCCAGGACTTTTTCTAGTTTCCAAACTAATCATTGACAGGGTAGTTTCTGCGTACGTAGATCCTCTTTGATGACCACTCACCATGCCACCAGAATTGCCTATATCCCTGTCCCTGTGCCCATTGTCCTGTAAGGGAGAAATTTCAGCTTTAGCTTATTTCACTCCTCTTTGGGACTCGTTGTTTGAATTCAACCTCATATTTGCCCATGTTAATAAATATGTACTTGCTTTCTTAGTCTACTGACAGTTTACTTCTTAAATTAAAATTATGCTACTTTCAGAGAAAAAAAAAGAAAGCTTAAAACTTTCCTTCAGGGGGAAGGAGCTAAACTCTAAGCACCCATGAGTTTAAGGATGCGCTGTCAAAGGCAGGTGCAAGAGTGGGAAGAGAAGGCCCTCCAAGGCTCCAGAGCTCAAACTTATTTAAATTTTTGTGCATCCTCAAGGGTAGTTCTTGGATTTTGAGTTTAAACACCTAACAGGCAGGTCAAATTACATTTTCAGAGAATAGTTTTCCTATTTTGCAAAACTCTAAATATGCTGAAAGTGGGGAATAACGTGTTCCTCTTGTCATTGCTCTGTATCGGCATTGGTCCGGGTTCTACGGGGCTTTGGCTTTTGTTGGTTGGTTATCATCTGTCTCACTGTGTCTTTGCAATAAACAGACCCACAGGCAATACAGCACAGAGAAACACTGAGTATAGAGGAAACAGAGCACAGGCCGTGTGTGTGTGTGTGTGTGTGTGTGTGTGTGTGTGTGTGTGTGCATGCCTGCATATGAGCTAGGTAGGATAGAAAATGGAACTGAAGAAAGTAAAACTTGAAGGAAATAAAATTTCACCTCTAAACTCCAAGATATAGTATGTAAAAGTACAAATCTCCAGTGATGAATATCATTATATTGTTACCTAAAATGTACCAATGAAACTAATTAAACTATTAAAAAAAAAAAGACTGGTCAGCAGCAAGCAGTCACTTTACACAGGTGAACCTTGATTTCTTAGGCAGATAAGTGATTTGGAATAGATAGCAAACCTTACCTTTCATGTATGCCAGAGTCTTCTAAGGAAGTGCTTTCCCCATCTTGCCCCAGAGTACTGGGGGTTGAACCCAGGACCTTCACACTGAACTACACCTTCAGCCTTATTTATTTATTTATGAAGTAGGGTCTTGTAAAGTTGTTAAGCTGCCCAGACTGGGCTTCATCTTGTGATCCTCCTGCCTCATCCTCCTGGCATTATTAAAAATCATGCAGTCCAGTGAAACACTGTTTAGGCTTGGGCATCCCACCTTAGTATTAAGAAATTCTCAGGTGATTTTACCTGTGCTCCTGGGCTTAGCCTGGGTACAAGAACCTATGGTGTCCAATGCGAGTGTGAATCCATTTGATTCCATAATTGGAGATGCAATCCCTGGTGTCATTCCTTTCTCTGAACCCTTCCTTCCCCTGTGACACAGTTGTCAAGGAACTCCGCAGTCTCTTAATTTACAGGCATGCCTGAAAAAAGAATACAATTTGTAATATTTATTATTATTTGGACAGATGCTGAACCATTTCTACTGAAATATCTCAAACATCCAATTGCAGTTTATTAAGGAAGGTGCACCATCTAAAATCCTCCTATCTTTTCTAAGGCAATTATTTTTAGTCTAAAATATGTTATCAGCTTGCTAAAGACCAAGCACAGTAGGGCTTTTTGAGCTAGTTACCTACTGAAGAGCTAGTTTGGTTGTCTTTTCCCCATCTTTGTTTGCTTATAAATTAATGGGTTTAATTTCAGTGGATTAGTACATCCACATAGCATACTGTGATCTTTTTCACTCCCCTGTCACCTTTTTTTCCCTCAACCTCCTTCCTAGCTTCATAGCGGGAGAGGGGACTGCAATGCATATAGTATACTTTTATTATACTCATTCTTCCATTACCCACCCTTACCTTCTCTTTCCTCCTCATTCCTTTTCTCTTTTTGGTGGGGAGGTATACTGGGGATTGCAAGGCAGGTGCAGTGCCACTGTTAAATTCCTGGCCCTATTTGCACTTTTTTTGAGATGAGTTTGTTCAACTTATTTGCTCATGGTTAACTGGATATGTTTTTTTTTTTTTCGGTGTTAAGTTTTTTGAGTTATTCATATATTCTAGGTATTAAATCTATGTCAAAAGAGTAGCTGATAAAGACTTTTTCCCATTCTCTAGGCTGTTTCTTCATTCTATGTTTCCTTGCTGTTTAGAAAAATTTCAATGTGAAGTGGTTCCATTTGCTGATTCTTGCTATTATTTCCTGTGCTATTGGTATCCCTTTGAGGAAATCTTTGCCTGTGCCTATGGCTTCAAGTTGTTCCCCTGTGTTTTCTTTCAGCATTTTCAAAGTTTGAGGTCTTATACTTAGGATTGAGATCCATTTTGAATTGGCCTTTGTACAGGGTGAGAGATAAGGATCTAGTTTCCATCTTGTACAAGTTGGATATCCAATTTTTCCAGCACCATTTATTAAAGATGGTATCTTTTCTCCCTTGTACATTTTAAACCTTTTTCCAGAATCAGTTCACCATAGTTATGTGTATTTGTTTTCATGTCTTCTATTCTGTCCCATTGTTCTATTTTTGGGCCAGTACCATGCCTTTTTTGTTAGCATGGCTTTGTAGTATAATTTGAAACCGGGCATCTTTTTTTTTTTTTAAGATTTTATTTTATTTTTTATTTTTTATTTTTCAGCTTTAATTGAGTTTATTGGTACATTTTAGGGACACAGTACAGTTACATTCATTGTTGGGATCATGTACCTCTACATGGCAAGTCTTGATTCTCATTTTTTCCCCTTACCTCTGCCTTCCCTTCACCCCCTCCTCCCCTCCCCATCTACAAACACTTTATTTTCACCTTTTCATTCTCTCACATTTTTTTCTTTTCCCTTTTTACTCTTCCCCTAC